TTGACTCGATGTGATAGTTTCTCCGTTGGAAATTAAGACAGATAAATATAAAAGCAAAACGGAACATTAAACTTAAATTTCAAAGGTTACTTGTATCTTGAGAAAATTAAGTTTCCATTAATTTCGTAGATGAAAGAATTTTTTAATTATAAACCGAGCTTATATGTAGAAGCTGATTTGTTTCTTAAAACAATTGAGGGTTTCTAGCAATTTCTTAAAAGTGAAAAAGAATGTTTAAACGAAAATTCAAGCTTATATTTCGGAAATTATTCGTAGTTCGAGGAAACTGACTTTTATCAATTCCTTGGATAAAAGCGAAACAACTTTTTTAAATGATAAATATGAAACTTATTGTATTTTAAAAATTATTGCAGCTTGAGAAAACTGAGTTTTCATCAATTCCTTTTAAATCACTTGCGTTTTACAATGCAAACTACACAATATTTAACACTTCACTCGTATTTCTTATCATGTGTTCGCTCGTCGTAATAATGCGTTTCCGCTGAAGAGTGTGACGAACAGACACTTTAAACCGCCTACACCATGTTTACTTAATTCTCATAGAAGAAGCCGAAGAAGCCGTTTCAAATGGCGTAATCGCACGACTTGTCACGTCGCGTATTAAGAACAATTGAAATTATCTCCTAGCTAAAAATTGTCGTTAATTAACAAATCGTATTTGGTGCCACTTTCGTTGATTTATCTTTATTAATTCACGGTCGCAGATTGCTTTCGCGACGATTTTTCGACCTCCTACGTAATTAAATTAATGTCGTTCTGAAAGAAGTCCTTTTTCTGTTTGTAATATTTTTAAAAAGTATTTTTTTAGCCTGGTAATTGTGTAAATTATTACAACTTAATGGGGATACGTAGCGTAAAATAGTCTTAATTAGGTGTTTCCGAAGCAGCATAGTAGCATGTTTCTATCTTCGCTGGTTTTGCTGCCATCTCTGATTAAAGTTCTTCATTCAGAAGAAGGTAAGAAGGTTACGGTAAAACATATTTTTAAGGTAAAACATATTTCGTCAATTCTGAGTTAATTCATTGTAAATACAACTTAGCCTCATCACCGCGCATGATGATGATGATTAAATCGTTTATTTATTGCTGTACGAGTAAATGCGTTTTATTAATAAAATGTAATAAATGATTTTTTATATTGATCTATAGAGCTCCGTTAGAATATTGAAGAACTATTTTCAATGCATTACAAATTTTTATACAGATTTTCATAAAGATTCTTATGCAAAAAGAATTTCTCTTGTACTTAAGAAAGGATTCAGAAGAAATAAATTCTTTTGAATTCTTGAGAATAGTTTTAGAACATAAATGGGATGGTAAAAGAGTTCATTTTATAATTCGGGAATTCAAAAAGAATTCTTAGAGTTTCTGTGTTTTCTGGAGAGTAATCAATGCTTCAAATAATAATGACAATTGCTCTCTTAAGTGTGTTATATGTATATTAATTGTTCGCCAGAAAAATTGTCACGTGATTATTTATAGTTATTATATTATTAGAGGAAAGTCCCCTATTATGAGATAGGATCCTAAGATGAGATAGTGGAGTTTCTGCTAAATTAATACGCGTCATCGGTTGGTTCCGCCATGAATTTATCGTTGTTAGATCATGTAATCGTCGCGGAAAAAGATTTCTAATAGAACTTGGACGTTGAAAACCTACTATATCACCTTAGAATTGTTCCTATCTCATAATAAAGAACTTTCATCTACTTCAGATTGATAATAATGTTCCAATTTAAAAAAATTGACCCTTATTAGAATATTCCTTCCTCGCGCAGGTGCAAATAACTTCAGTCGAATACTGTGGCAACTTCATTTTATTCCACGGCCGTTAATTGTAAGAAGAGACTTGAGTTTTTTATCCGAATATAATAATCGCTCAGACTTCACCGAAAATAATCGTATTTTTAAGTAACTACTATACGCAATTGTTTGTATTTCAATTAAAGATGTTTGAAGAGCAATTGAAACGATTTGTGAGTCATTTGTAATTAATTATTTTCTACCTGGCACTTAGCCGGAATTAAACCAAGTTTTTATACAGAATTTGTATTATGTATGAAGAATGATCAAACGTGATTAAAAAGGTTCTGTGTGAGATATCAAAAAAATTTTAATTCAATATTTATTAATTTGGAAGTTTTAGCGGAAATTTAGTTACTCCTATTAAAAGAAGAAGCTAGTAAAATTCCATCGGTACTTTCTCCTTCTATTATGTAATACGGAATAATTTAAGACATAAAGAAACAAAATTTCTACTCGAAAAGTTCTAATCGAATAATATTAGTTGTTAACTTACCGACCCGATGCGCAGCAGCGGAGTTGAACTACGTTGGTTCTGGAACATAGAATTAATAAGTTCACATTAAAACAGAGAATTTAAGAAAACCTGCTAATAGCAGGTTTTCAACGTTGAAATTCAATTACAAATCTTTTTTCGCGACGATTACACGATCTAACAATAAATTTTCCACTAGACAGATTTCATTTTCAAGAGCAACAAATTCACGGTGGAACGAGTATGATGCTTGTTAATTTAACAGAAATCCCGCTATCTCATATTAGGAACTTGTCTCGTAATAGGGGACATAAATCGTTTGGCAGGTTCTCATGCGAATAATTCGAACGGGCAAGTTGAGTAAACGGAACGACGAAGTAAAACAATCCGCGAAATGAACGTTGACGCGAGAGTAGTGCACAAACAATCGTATTCACCATAGAGTTGCTCCGCCGTTGCCTGATGCCGCCTGGGCCGCCGCTTGTCAGACTCCTTCATTTTGCACTGGCACAACACGACACTCGCGAAAGAGGCGCTAATTCACTAAGTAATGCGCGACACGGCACTCCCGGTACCTATCGACGCGGACGTCACTGCAACGAAAACGAGAGACAATCGCGCGCGAAACGACGGAAACGTTCCGGCGGGAAGGACTCGCCGGAGATGCGCGAGGAGGCTAAAGCCTCGTCTACATAGAAGTCGTAAGAATAGTCGACTATGATTGGTCAATTCTCATGTGTCTGACGAAATTGACCAATCGCAGTCGATCATTCTTACGACTACGACTCTGCGACTCGCATTGTAGACCGCGCATAACTTGACGCGCGTCGCGGAAAAGGGAACCGAATGCGTGCGTTCGACGGGGCGATTTCGCGCGGACGCTCCTCTCGCCGCGTATCGCGCGTGGAAAACTCGGATATCACTGCGCGCGCGAGAATACACAGATTAAAATGAGAAAATTCGGTGCACTTCTGACGAGGATACGACGGTGCCTTAGCGACGCCGACCGCGCGCGACATTTCGGCCGGGATTTCTCAGATAGACGCGTCTCGGAGAATTGCTGACGCGCGAGGATCGAGTCTACGTCGCGCGATTGTTAAACTGGACGATGGTGAACTCACTGCGTTCGTGCGTATTCGAAAACTCGACGCACTTCTGACGTCCAAGATACGACGGCGCTTTAGCGACGCCGACCGCGCGCGACATTTCGGCCGGGATTTCTCAGATATACGCGTCTCGGAGGATAGCCGACGCGCGAAGATCAAGTCTACGTCGCGCGATTGTTAAACTGGACGATGGTGAACTCACTGCGTTCGTGCGTACCGTGAAACGCGACGACTATCGCACAGGACCGATTCACTTGCGTGTCCACGGGCACTTCTCGAATGATCGACATGGCGTCGTTCCCGGCGGGCACTGCGCGGCGCTGCTACGACGGTACTACGCGGGTCACGTCGACGACGCGATGTACGTCGAATAGCGAAATAGCGAAATAGCGAAAACGACGTCTCGCGGCACTCGATTACGCGAAAAATGTTGGCGCACATCGCCCCGTGGCGTACGTACCGGCGGCACGAACGATACTGCGAAGCGCGAACGTCCGCTGCCCGTGCGGCGATCGCCGGCGGCGCGGCGGCTCGACGTAAACAATCGCCGAGCGGAGCGCGAGTTTGAAAAACATTGCAAACACACAGTGTTGACGGCGCCGTAAAGAAAAACACGCCGTAACTGCTACGTTGTTTTTCACAGATAAACGGCTATCATTCTGCCTCGATAACGGGTGGTCACTGTGAACGCTTTGACAAGCGATCTTTATTTCGATTATTTAAACGGCACTCCTGAACGCGACGAAAATGGGAACTTTATGTTATACGCGCAATTTTGTACGTAATAACGTTAGAGTATTCTTGGCAAGCGATCGATATATTGTAATGTTTCGTCATCATTTTACCCGACGATTCGTGTATTATCTTTCGCTTTTGATCTGAAAGTGGATAAATGTTTAACTTCTACCGACGAAACTTTTAAAGCGCAATATATGTGAAAGAGATTCGCCCGAGTTCGATTGTTACAGAAGGTATTATCGCCCGTGGATGTATCGAAATTAATATTTTATAAACATCAATGAATAAAAGACCTCGGATTCGTAACTCTTCATACAAAATACGAACATTTTCTTAAGGCCTGTGTCAACGATGCTAGAACTTGGTCCAAGTTCTAGTTTCGAGAAACGTGTGGCCAATCAACTTGCAGCTATTCCATAAAAGCTGCACGTTGATTGGCCTCGTGGACACAGGCCTTTATAAAAACTTTATTCAATCTATTTTGGCTAAATGCCAGATAGAAAATAATTATTTAAATTAATTACGAATTATTTATTAATAAATACGAATAATTAAGAAAATTAATTACGAATAAACGAATGACTCACAAACTTTTTCAATTGCACTTCAAACGTTTTCATACAAAATACAAACGATTGCGAATAGGAGTTATTTAAAAATACGTTCATATCCGGCCAAGTGCGTGCCAATAAATATAATTTCCTGTCAAACGTAAAACAACGCTTTCCGTCAAGATTTATTCAAATGGTGTCCGTGTAAAAATTTTTTAAAACGCGAGCGTTTTTCGAGGGTGAGAAAAGCTGTAATAATTTTCCTTAGCTCCGCGGATATTTTCGGATTGATCGATAAATATTCCAGCAAGCTCCGCGCGAGCGACGTACACACAACAATATGGCGCCTGCTACTGGGGATCTCGCGGACTTGCAGCGGGAGATTTTCGAGAAAATCAGCAAGAATGAGGTGTGCGAGCTCAGGACGTTGCTGGCGCAGAGCAAGGTCAAGATGGACTTCGTCGATGAGAACGGCATGAGCCCGCTCCAGCACGCCTGTTACAAGGGAAACAAGGAAATCGTGCAGCTGCTCCTCGATCAAGTAGGTTATGTTGACTCTGCCAGTGATAATTGATGTCAACAGAGCTTATCGCCTTGAGACCTGCCTGGTGGACATTTAAGTACGTCTAAACGAGTGCTCGCTTGGTCCCTTCGTGATAGATTCGTGTCCCTTATTTATGAGATTATTAATATCGCCAACATAAGTAAACGTGACCGGTATGTGTACGCAGGTAGCTAGAAGTAAGCCTGATTAGAAGCAAGATCAATAGCCTTTGGTAGAAATACGTATATGAAGTACATGGTGTATAAATTTCACGCAATAATAGTGTGGGACACGATAGATCCAGCTGGACCATAAGGTTATTTCAATCTACTTGTAGCGCTGATATCATGTTTACCAAGTGACGTCTAATGCGTCGTTTACAATGCACGGAATAAGCCTGGCGTAAGGAGTAAGAGAGAACCGTGACATTTAGCTTTTGGTGGAAGGAAGACAAAATGCAGGCATAACTTTCGAAATATTTGTAACACTGGCCGCGATGGCGTTCTCATTCGCCGAGAGTAAGCGCAAGAGGAATAGGAAATGAAATTGAATTATATCCTTACTTTTACTCCTTGCTGCAGGCTTACTGCATGCATAGACGACGCATAAAAGCCTGTGTCCACGATGCTTGGTCTAAGTTGTATACTTCCGAGAAGTGTGTAGTCAATCAACTTGCAGCTATTCCACAGAAGCTGCAAGTTGATTGACTACACAGTTTTCGAAACTAGAACTTGGACCAAACGTAACGTTAACGACATCATTACGTGTATATATACCACAGAAAAGCTGTGTAAAGCGCGTAATGATATCGTTAACGTTTACAGAATAGGCCTCTAACATAGTCGACTTGTAACTGTAATTGTGTATTTGTTCTAGGGCGCTGACGTGAACGCGTGTCAACACGAGCACGCGTACACCGCTCTTCATTTCGCCGCTTTAAGTGGCAACGCCGAGCTGTGCCACCTCCTGATGTCGCATGGAGCGCGCCTGACGGCGACGAACAGCGTGGGCAGGACGGCCGCGCAAATGGCAGCGTTTGTCGGAAATCACAACTGCGTGGCAACCATCAATAACTTTATCCCGAAGGCCGATATAGATTATTATATTAAGCCGCAGGGTTTGCAGACCGAACCCATGCTGCCGCCGCATCTAGCCGATTATTTCCATAAATTCATAATGCACGTTAACGTGAATCCTGTACGCGTGTGTATGAATTTACAGAGACTCCCGACGCTTTTGGAGAATGCAGGAAAGGTGAGGCACAATGTATAGGAGGCTAAATTGATAATTGAACCGAGTTAACATATTTATTTGACGCGCTAAACTTGTTCCCTTGTACGAAGGAACGAATGTTCTTACATTCGGTACTCATTCCCCTTGTCATCTTTTTGTTCAGGTACAAAAGGTATTAGAATCCATGCGCTACAAAGAAATGACGCGAGGCGCTGAAATAAATGAAGTAATGGCCTTCAAGTACCATTACCTCAGTTGCGTTGTGACCGAGGTGTTAAAATGTCAGAAGCGCCAAGAAGCTATGAAGGCGGAGAAAGGCGAGAAGGGAAGCGAGGAGAGCGAGGAAAAAAAGTCTGACACTGTAGAACTTTTGATACGTAGGTTCCTCAAGTGCAGCAAGAACGACAGCTTGCCCGAGTATCAGGAGGCATTTTTGAGGGAATCCGTGAGAGAGTTTCCATTCCGAGAAAGCACAATTTTCCGTCAGATGGTCGCTACACTGGCAAGCACGGATCCGCCGTCTGCCGTTTCCGTTATTTCCGCTGCGATTAATGGGCAGCGGGGCTTCATCGATAACGCCCAGACTTGCGTGACCTGCGGCGAGGACAAGGCCACCAAAAAGTGTAGCAAATGCAAAGCGGTGCAGTACTGCGACAGAGAATGTCAGAGATTGCACTGGTTCATGCACAAAAAGGCATGCGCCAGATTGGGCCAGTCCCCGGCGAATAACGGAAAGGTCACGGATGTAGATAAAGAACAGATCAGCAGCGCGGTCGGCTCCAGGCTACAAAACCTAACTGTTAAATAAGTAAATGTAATGTGTACAGATTTAATGTTGGCAGTCTACTTGGCATGCATTATATTCGCGGACGTTTATTTTTTGTCCTGTATATAGCCGTCCTACGGTGTAAAATTGGTGGATCTTCTTATAATTATGCTTACCATATCTGTGGAAGCTAACATTATGCCATTATCATTGTGTAAGTAAACATTAAGTAAACTCTATTGAAAATGTATAAATTTTTCCGTTTAGTCGATTACGCGTTTGTATCTATATCTCGTTCTTTCGACTTTTCAATCCTTGATAATCAGTTAAATAATTCAACAAGAGATAGAACTGAATCAAATTATAAGTTTCTTATTACTGTACAAAATATCGTACTTTTTTTATTCCTATGCGCAATTCTTCGAGCTGCCGGACTTTTTTCAACTGACTGACTTTTGTATAGTTTCGTATATCTCCTCGTACTTCTTGGACAATGAAATTGCCAAATATATTTGTAAGTTACTTTATTCTTGATGTATGCGTGCACGCAATTAAACATATCTGTCAAAATGTTAGCGCTGTCTTTTCAAGAACCTTTATTGTGATCTGTCGAAATAAAATACATTTACTTACAACTGATATGTGATAGCATTAGCTTCTCCCATACAGGGTGTACTAAAACCACCGGATATACTTTTAATCACAAATTCTTTAGAAAATTTTAAGACAAAAATTCTAATACAACTATGTCGAGGCTATAATAGTTTTTAAATAATAAACGATTATATTTCACAAATTATAGAAAATTTCGCGCGCTCAGATATGGCGACGTGACAAATGATAAAAGTGTTCCTACGAATATCGCCCTTTTTAGCATAGTAACAACCTTCATGGTAACTGATATTGATCGACTACTTTGACAGCTGCAACACTTTGAAGTTACATGTTGTAAAGTTTTACTTGAATTATTTTTAAGATGTTGAAGTTCACACGTCTATTTACCGTAAAGAGAAAATACTGATTCAACGCGTAAAGAAGCAGGAAAACGTATAGCGACGATGTTATTAAAATTGATGTGATTAGCATAATTCACGAAAAGGGCGACATTCATAAGAATACTTTTATCACTTGTCATGTACCTAAGCGCGCGAAATCTCAGGCCTATCATTTGTAAAATATAATCGCTTATTATTTAAAAACTATTATAGCCTCGACATTTTTGTATTAGAATTTTTGTTTTGAAATTTTCTAAAGAATCTGTGATTAAAAGAATATCCGGTGATTTTAGTACACCATGTATATTGCTGCTAATTCATCATTAATCAATTTAATTTTCGTTTCCTCGTAACGTTGCTCTTATCAACAAAATTATTAGTAAAATTCAATCTGAAGTGTCAGAATTATAATAAATTATATTTTTATTGAAATTACTCGTTTTAGTCACTTTAAAAATAAAATTTATATCATTGCATTTTATCTTATGTCATCTTGTACGTATTACGATACTACTTTACTGGTAATGGAAAATTACGTGTTCACGTCGCGACTTTCTTCATCGCGTTAACCATTTTGTCAATCGTAAAGTAACGCAAATAAGAACAATTTTTTAGCGCAAACGACCGCATTTTTCACGCCCACTTCGACGGTTCTTCGCTACTTTGTTCCAAGATTGAAATTAAATTGGCGGAACTTTCTCCCCGCGCTAAATCGCGCGGACATCTATGAGGCTTCAAACTTTCACCTCAAACAGTGAATCCGATCGTTGCGTTTCGTGTTACGCAAACATTGCAGCAATCGTTTTTGGCAATATGTCTCATCGTATCTGTAATAACACGATCGCATACTTTGTGATTCCTATTTTCCACACATGAAAAAGATGATGACATACGACACATTTAAAAATAATATTATATATCGAGATACAATATGTCTGCCTGCACTGTAACAATAGTAGCCATTTTATTTTACATATCCCGGTAAAAAATGTTTCATGCTTGAACATGAATAAATATATAAAAATATACATCAAATATGTCCATATACATATAGTTTTACAGTGTATATTTCTATATAATTTTATACAATTGTACACAGTTCTGTATACTTTTATAGATTTATACATGCCTTTACATGAAAAAATTTTTAATGTCAAAACTTGCTTATGTATAATTGTGTACAATTGTACAAAGTTATATCTGTATAATTATAAATGAGCAATTTTCCTTTTTAAAAATTTTTCATATAAAAGTATGTATAAATCTATAAAATTATATAGAACTGTATAGAATTGTATAGAATTACATAAAAATATACAATGTAAAAATATGTATGGACAAACTTCATGCATATTTTTATATAACACTATATGTATATTTATGCAAGCTCATGGCATGAAAAATGTTTTACCGGGATGTTACATTATGAAACATACAAGATAGACGAAGTATCTGTAATGAAATGTAACGCTAAAATTATAAATGAAAGAACGAAAAGAAGACTTTTCGTTTTCAATCGCTTTCAGTTCAAGAAACTATCGATACCTCACGCAGGTTTTCGCTTAAAAAAAATGGGACAGTATCGGAGAACACGCCTGCGAATTTTTGTTTATGGTTTCGTAAAAAATTCCTTGTATTATTATTTATGCCATGCTTTCCGTTAATGCTATTCCTTTATAACTGTTTTACGGAATTGGGCGAAATTATTTTAACTGCAAAAAATTGTGAGGATGCTTTGATTTACTGTACCGCGCGTCAGTTTGTTACGGTAAGCTTTCACTTTTCGTATAGAATTACATGACAATGTGTAAATCTTGTGGTATAGGACAAAATGAGAAAGTGGTTTTCTCCAACTTTTTGTCTCTTTCTCACGGTTATGTACGAGATACTAATTTTGAAAGTGGTTTCAATGGCACGCGTATGTAGTCCATGCAGAGGAAGCAGCTGTCGCTGCGAGAGTGAGAAGCATCCTTTTAGCCACGAATACTAGAACAAGGTTCATTAACTCGGATTTAACCTTTTCTCATAAAGAATTTACACGATTAGTAAATCACCGGCAGGAAATCATTTTTGAAATTCGATATTACATTTTAACAATTAACCTTGAAGCTAAGAGGCTTAAAAAGTAAACATTTTAAGTCTGATTTTACCGATGTCGCTTAACTTTAAACTTATTGTTAGTTTAATTCGTCCTTTGTCTCTTTCTAAGAGCAGTTAGACAGAGACGAAGAATAAACTAAATTAAGGTCAAAGCAAAGTTGACAAAACCGGACCTTATGTCTGTTTTTATACCAACGTTCTTTAATTTTAATCTTAGTTCAATTCATCTTTTATCTTTTTCTAACTGTCCCCTTAGAGGCAAATAATGATTTAAACTAAGATCGAAGTTAAATGAACGGTTTGAGTTGGCGAAAACCGGGATAAGTTAGTTAAAGTTTATACTTTATTTAGGCCCGGTTTCACTAACGTCGCTTAACTTTAAGCTCAGTTTAATTCATTCTTTGTCTCTTTCCAACTGTTACTCTAGAAAGAGACAAACATGAATTAAACTAAGATTAAAATTAAGCGACGTTTGGTGAAACCGGGCCTTAAAAGCTAGCTGCACAGCAAGATTTTTAACTTCGAGCGTTTAACTTTGTTTTAACAATTTTAAACTTGAAGCTAAGCTGAAAAGAAACCGCTTCATCTAGTTAAATCATACAATTATTTAAAAGCTAGTATTACTACAGCAAATTTTTTCGCCATTTCGAGCGTGTCTCACCTTCGATATTTTAACCATTAAATCTGAAGCTAAATTTCTAATAAAAAAAGAAATACTTTAGTTAGTTAAGGTTTACACTTTGTTTTAAAGCTAGCCGCACCCACAGAAAAATTTTTCGGATCCAATGCTGTTACATTTGAATGTATCATAAAATATGATCGATATAGCGCCAATCATATTTATTACAGAGAAAGGAATACTTTAATCTTAAATGAAAAATTCTAAAATCTAGAATTAAACGATAGTACGTATCGTCTTTTGTGGAATATCACGGTGCCAACTTCGTGCGTTGTAAGATGGAGGGAAAATTTATTCTAAACGCAAGACTATATAAACTTACATTTGTATAAGTTACTCTTGTCTCAATATAGTATCGTTTTTAAATTCGATAGAGGAGAACAAGAATTATTGATTTTATTTTGATATTGTCTTATTTTTATACTAAGTGAGGTTGTGAGAAATATAAATGCGTTACGAATATTTTCTATCTCGGTAACAGAAATCTGTTGACTGAACTCTGATTAACAGTTAACCGACGTTTGTAAAACTGATCCTTAAACAGACGTGAAATGATACCGTTGTCACTTACCGTTGTGCATTTGATGTCTCGAATTGACTACGTGGCGGGGGGAGGGGGGGGGGAGAACGTGACATGCGTTAAAAATGTATTTCTTGTCGATATCGGCGACGGAAGCTCCCGACTTCGGCACTTCCGCCGTACGGTGTTGCTCAATCGAACCAAGCTTCAAGCTTTCCCAAACGAGCCGTGTAATTTAGAATTTTATTTGTTTTTATAAAATAAATTGACGTCGATAAGACATCAATTTGAAGATGTCGTTATCGATTCAACATCGTTTCGACATCGACCGACGAATCATTTCTCGCTGGGAAGCGAATATTAGATCCGTCTATGAATTTTTTAAGAAACGTGAAACATAGAATCTGAAGATTACGTAATATAATAATACGTTTCAACTATCTTATAATTAAAAATATAAGAATTTTTTATATACATACGAGATTTCCACTTTTTTATTGTAAGATATTTGAAACGTATTGTTATAACATTAAGAATCATTTGACGCCAGCAGATGAATCAACATGATTAATCAAAGCAGTTAATCGACCACGACTAGCTATGTGTTTTTTTTAACACAGAAAATTTATTGCGAAAAATATTACCTCAGCCAGGGTTTGAACCTGGACCTCCCTTCTAGGTGGGTGTCTCAACCAATTAGACCACCGAGGCATTATGTGCCTTCTGTGTTTAAAAAAACACATAGCCAGTCATGGTCGATTAACTGCTTTGCTTAATTGTATTATTATACATAATTTTCAGATTCTATGTTTTACACACACACACACACGCACGCACGCACGCACACGCACACACACACACACACACATACACACATATGTGAGATTCAAAATTAAATCGTGGATCCATAACGCCTGAGCAAATGCCAGATTCTTAATATTAGACCTCACACATTCGACGGAAATTAAATAGATACGTAATTAACATTTCTAATATGGATTTCCGCTAGACGCGAATCCGCATAAATATTTATATATCTTCCTGGTATATTTTTTCGTAGGGATTACTCTTGTTTACGTGTACGAAAATGGGTCAACAGAAACTGATCATCGAAATCAGGGTCGAAAGCTCGGGGACCACTTCTTGCACGTGTGCGTCTCCAACGAAGAGATCATCTCCGTTTAATAATAACCGAATAATAAATTTATTCAAGAGGCCGAGATAGGATGACCCTCGTTACCCCTTAACGATAACGTTTTCAAAGGTCATCTGGCGAACGTGAACCTCGGCAGGTGGAGAAGGTAAGGTTCACGAGGAAGGGATACCGAGGAGCAAAACGGTATCCCGGGTGGCGACGATTCGGCAACGAAGTCACAGCGGAACGTCCGTGCCGCTCAGTTCCTGAAACGCTGGCGCGAGCCGCGCATCGGACAACCGCGAAGACAAACCCCGGCGAGATGCACGTGCCCGCGGCGTCGTTGATCCTCGCGGCGTCGTTCCTGGTGACGCAGGTCCGCACCCACATAATCGCGTGGCGAGAAACGAGGAGGGAAGGACCGATACGGGACGCGATCGAGAGCGGCGCCGCCACCGAGTCCAACAAGGATTGCATCTGGAAGCGCGGAAACGACCGCGACGTCTGCCCCGATCCGGATGTGCACGTGTACCTGTACACGCCCGGCCAGCCGCGGCGGCTGCTGGACCCCCGGGAGCAGACCGACTGGCTGCGACGGGAATACGAACCCACCAAGGACAACGTGATTTTAATTCACGGATACGCAGGTGGCTATCTTGGAGTCTGTGCTTCTGAAATTTATTGATCTTGGGATGACGCGTAGCTCTGTGCCGACACGGGTGATTAGTAATGATAGCCCGAGAAGAAAGGGGTATGCAAAATTGGGAAAATTTTGTGGTACAAAACCAATCGTCACGAAACTTGACACAGACGTTAAATGATCTTCTTATGATAATAAGACAGAAAAAGGTATAATAGAGAGTTGATCGAGCTCTGGTTACCATTTAACCGACGTTTGTGAAACTGGCTCTTAGGCCCGGTTTCACAAGTTATGTATGTACTTTAAACTGCACTTTAAATGCACTGGAATAACTGAAATTTTTAAGTCACTAATTACATGAAACTTTACATGTTTCTTCTTGTGGAAAAAGTAAAAAGTTCCACGACTAATATTTGGCTTCTACTAAATACGAGATAATATCAGTGACAGCCCCCGAGAATGGAACGCGAAGCGAATGGGACGAACGTTTTTTGAATCTCGAAGGACATTCAAATTTGTTCCCGTGCTTAATAAGTGATTGGTCTCGCGATAATCTTCATATTGATCCGCAGGTGGCGACGACACGTTACCGATTGTCATTTTACGCGACGCCTACCTGAAGAATGGCAGCTACAATGTATTCCTGGTCGATTGGGGTGCGTTATGCGCTCGACCATGTTACCCGGCAGCGGTGGCAAATATACGACCGGTGGCGAGATGTCTCGCCGGCGCTCTAACGACCTTGAGAAATCTCGGACTGCAGATCGCCAGAACTACCTGCGTCGGGCATTCCCTGGGCGCTCATATTTGCGGCATTATGGCTAATTATCTTCTCTTCAGAATGCACAGGTAAACGCTCTGTGAACTGCAGTCACGCCGATCATTTTATGCAATGTCAGCTTAAGCTTCTGACGTAATGCGACAGTTAATTTGATCGTTTGGCCAAAATGTGTGGAAAGTACTGGACATTAATCTGTAAATGCAGAAAAGAAATTATTGCAACCTTAATTCTTTTGCTTCCACGAAGAATATACACATAGATTGTTGCGCATATACAAAACGATAAGCACGTTAACTTGAGTATATAAGAATTAATTTGACGCTTATTTTTCTGCGCAGGATAATCGGCTTGGATCCCGCGCGACCGCTCGTCCGACCGGGCCCGGTGAACCGTCTTGACGCCGGCGACGCCGCCTTCGTCGAGGTGATACACACCAACGCCGGATATTACGGCGAAACCGGTCGCGTCGGCCACGTGGACTTTTGCGTGAACGGCGGCAAGGTGCAGCCGTTCTGCGCGAATCGGGAGATGTACCAGCTGTGCAGCCACGTGTGGGCAGTCTGCTTCATGGCGCAGAGCGTGGACGACGGCGGGGCGGCCATGATCGCGGAGTCTTGCTCCAGGAGGTGTCAGTCGGATTCGAGAATCGCCTCTAAAGCGGGAGAATACGTAATGATGGGACAGTACACCCCGATGGGCACCAGAGGATCCTTTTGCTTCAGCAACTCCAATCCACCGTACTGCCCGAGGCACTGGAACGGCCACGGCGACGAGAGATGCTGCATTCCGGAGGTGGCGAGCAACGAGGAGATAGAAGAAAACAACGTTAAGTATGACAATTTAACGAAACATTTTAAATCGGCAAAGCGTTTGAACTTCGAACTCGACTTAACGCGACTGCGTTAGTTGAGGACTCTAGTAGCACAGTGCCTCTAAAAGCCAATCAGTGGATTATCACTGAAAACAGTGAATAGTCACTGATTTATTGTTATAAGTATACCACTGTAAAATTTTCAGTAGTATACCCAGTGAGAAATGATTCGACATTAATTTGACGGTGTCGATTTAACTTCGTTTCGACATCGATTGACGGAGCTATTTCTCGCTGAGTATTTATTGTTTTCAGGGATAATTCACTGATTGACTTTCAAGGAGTTTGGCCCAATACAACCAAATGTTGGGCCAATTAACCAATGTTTGGTCACTGTGCTATCAGAAAACCATCCCAGTGAGAAATGATTCGTCGAAACGATGTGGACCATCGACGCTGTCAAATGCGACGTCGATTCGACGTCAATTTGACGGTGTCAATGTCGACTCGACATCAATCGACGAATCATTTCTCGCTGGGACCGTTATTAATCGCATATTGAATTTATTCGTTAAGTATATAAATTAAATTAAATCGTTTATACACTCGTAGCGGCTCTCTGAGAGAGTGCTAGATTTATAATACATTATTTCAGCATTGATTTCCTCAATGTTGATGTCTTCCTTGAAACGAGCACTTTGAAAAAGAAAAAGACTGTTTCATTCAGTTTATAGAAACTCGATTGCTCGCGACGAAACGTAAAACGTCTATATATATATATGCGTGAACAGAAACGATAGTCACAAAGATCCGTTACATTTTTATTAAGTTCTATTAGAAAATGTAAATCGACCTGGAAGAATGTGGGGCCGTCAATTACATATTCGCACCGCGCGGTGCGCCGCGTTCCGGAAAAATCCCAGTGTAATACACTCGGCGATCTATACCGTTACGCGCCCCACTAACTAACAAGCCACCGAACGTATCCCCAATACAATAATGAGCGGTCTATCGATCAAGCGTCGTTCTTCGACTTCTACTGCGCCTCATTGAAATTGATTAAATCGTTAATCAAATTGTTATGAAATTTTTTTCTTGGAGAACTTTGTGAACGAAAATAACTGTAGCAAAATATCATAGATATTTGCTGGTTTGTGTATTATGTTTAGAAGCTGTTTTCATCGACTTTTTCAAATCAATGAGTTATAGATAATTGTTGCATAGTACACTTGGTCAGTTTTGTGAACATCGAGTCTTCTCTCTTTTCCTCTCTCACTTCCTCCTCCTCCCCCCTCCTCTCTCTCTCTCTCTCTCTCTCTCTCTCTTGAATTCAGGTACCGTAGATTTAAAGAAACTCGTCATAACGTAAAGAATAGAATCTAAAAGTTTCCAGATAATGAATGATGATACTCTCTAAATTATTTGGAGTGAACTCTTGTGGACTGAGATTTTACTCGAAGAAATACTAAAAATTTCACGTTTTAATTCACGTGAATGCTGTTGTTTACTCTTTAAGCTGCATTCGTAAATGTTACTCTACTGCCCCAGTGTCGTTTTATCCTTGTCTGACTGTGCGGTGAGTAACAAAGATAAAATAAAGATAAAGAGATAAAAAGACACTAGGGCACTCAGGTAATGTTTTCGAACGCAGCCATACTTGGACGGATTCTTCAACTCTGAAAAGAGTGTTGTTTTAACACATATTCATCTATAAAAGAGTAGACTCTTAGTAGACTCATAAGTTATCGTTCGTTTGGCCAATATGAGATATGAGATGAATAACAATTGTGTGAAAAGATTACTTGAAAAGGGTCCAAATCCGGGACCGAAACGTCGTTTATCTTTTAGATAAAAACATTGGCCAGTGTAGGTGGTCGTTTTTGAAAAACTGCATATCATTGGTTTTATATTACTGGCGATATTAAATCTATTTGTGAGAGTTAGAAAATATTCGTTTTAAAAAGTTGTATAAATACTGAAAATAAGAATATTATCATATCACAAGAAGAAAAGATTCCTCTAGCATTAGGAGGATTGCGAGTTTAAATCTCATGCCTCAGAGTTATAGGATATTCCTCTAGATTTTAGAGTATCTTCTTGAGACCATATTTCATAGGAAAATTCTTTAAAATCATAATAAAACCACTCAAAAAGAGAATACTTTTTTGGTGTTCGAATAGATAATTTCTTATCAACATACGGAGATGCAGCTTTGTGTTTTATCAGCTTTTCCACGAAAGATTAAAAATTCTTTTTTTTTCGAGTACCCGAGAAATTCTATGTTTCGGCCAATCGAGACGATGTCAAGTATCCTTGTCTATAGGCTCGGACCGGCGCCCCGCTGTTTCGCATAGAAGTGTCTCGACAATCAGTGGACCAGATAGTCGCGACAAACAGGCGCGACATAGTACCCAACATCTTGCACTCTTGTCGTGAGCAGATAGCTCTTTAAGAACGGCGCGACAGACGTGGCAGGTCGTCTCACGAGGAGAGCCGGCATGAGAGGTTTATTATATCTTAAATGGTAGAAGCTAATAGCACAGGGCACTAAAAAAATGTAGAAACGATTTCCAAGATAAAAGTAAAACCAAGATATAATGCCTTAAAGACCGACTGGTTTCGTAAAACTTGCGACGTGGACAGCAGCGAAGTGCTAAATTGAATACAATTGTCTAGATCGCAAAAGGGCGATAGACGTTTGCGTGCGTAGGTATATAAACGCAAAAATCAGTTACCCCTGTCACTTTATCATTTGATATTTTGTCATTATTATTCAATTACATTGAAGTGGAAATAATAACAAGGCAGATATTTTATTTTTTTATGTTCGAATTGTTTTTATTTAATGGTATTAATGATATGAGTAATATACTGCGTATAAAAATCGTCAAAAGATAAAAATCTTAAACATTATTCAAGATACATAATATGTTAAATAATGCTCGATCGCGTATCTTCAAAGAGCCGCGTTCTTTGAAAATTTGTACACACGCTTTATAAGCGATCGTTTATTACGTAAGATTTAATCACGATATCAAATACGCTCGCTACAAACAGAGAGAGAGAGAGAGAGAGATGATATTTTGTCTCCCTCAACTTTTTGTTCGTTAAAATAGCATTTGTACATGACGTTGCATAAATCTTATTAAAAGTTGTATATAAATGCGGTAAAAAGGTCTTGCATATAAAAATATTTCACTCATTTAACTTCATTGTACAAAGAGTTTCCTTTTTTTTTACTAATAATTATGCGGCGCATAAAGGCACTCGACAAGACTAAAAATTCTTTGGGCATAAATATACGTGCATGGAAATGTTGTATGGTGTTTTAAACTTTGTTAAAAACTATCTTGACTAATTGTCGTTGTGAATGAAATATCTCTTTGGTAATTAATGCAAAAATCAATTATTACAGGTAAAGTTATCGACTATCACAAACAAATTAATAATATTCTAATTGTACAACAGTATTATGATTAATTACATGTAATATGATATGTGACAAGATGAGCCATTAACAATGAAAAACGAATATGAATTATTGCAGTTGAAGTTCGAGGCATGCTTTATTTTTGCTTCTGCCTTATTATCGAAATGATAGCAAAAGGTTACAGAAAGTAACTGAAGTGGTCAATGCTGGTGACAGGAAAACCTATATAAAGGGCGATTTATAATATGAGGATAAAAATTTCGCCCTTGCTGTAATAAGATAAATTTTTGACATAGCGAGGGCACCTCTGTCTTTTTCTATCTTATCTTTCTCTCTCCTTTGAATTCAGCAAAACATCGCACTTTCAACTTGCAATAATCGCTGCATTTTCGGATGTTCTTGCTCACAATATGTACGCAACAAACGTCAGTTTCAGTCATATGCGAATGTGCGACTCGAAAAAGAGACGAGTAATGAATAAGACGTTCGCGTTTACTGTTCATTCACTCTTAGCCATATTAAAATCTAACGTTATCACAAATATATACATACATGTATAGGCGCCCGCGTGCAACTGTGCAACATGCGTATATTTTATATATTTTTTATATTATACGTTATATTACAAAATATATTTCATATACGTAACATATCATATAATATATAGTATATGTTACATATAATATAAGATATATAAAATATAAACTGTATATTTATATATATGCATTATATATGTAAACATATCATATAATATATATTATATGTACATGTACATATATAAACATTTAGCTACATACATATAGAAACAAATATATACGATGCGCAATCTTAGGTAATTCGTCACCGTTAATTTCGCACGTTTAAAAGAAGGCTAATATGTCATGTTGCGTAGGTGAATAAAATACAAATGTTTCAGCGAATCTGAATGAAACAAAAAAAAACAGAAAACGACAACGGAATGATCATGTAGTAATCAAACGATTTCGTTATTACCTCATATTCCTTATTTGTTGTATACCCTAATAGCACAATGTATTGGCGCAATATTGGGAAATAATATGAATCTAGTATTCCCAATATATTGGTCCAATATTGTAAGACGAACGCCTTCTCTCATTTAGCCAGTATGTCTATTTAGCAATGTTGATCTAATATTGATAAAATATTAGACCAATATCTTATTACATTTGGTAAATATTGGCCAATGCACTTTCAATATAAATCTAATATTATATAATTATTATCGCGCAATATTTACATTGATTCCAAGGTCAATATTGGCTTTACGTTAGATAATATAAGCCAATGCATTTCTAATATAACCAACATTGAACCAATATTTAGCCAACGTTTAGCCAATACATTGTGCTGCTAAGGTATGTACGTCATTAAAAACAGAAGAACGAATTTGTTTTCAACGAAACGACGAACTTCTCTTGGAAGATGCCGATTCGTCTCATCTCCGTCAGGATCAATAGCATTTGTAAGTATTCGACTTTGCTAACACTTTATAGATAAGTACGGTTGTAAAGTTAAATGCGACAAGAATATCGTGAAAAATGACACGAGTATATCACTGCACACATTTGCAACTTTGTAAAGCTCTTGCATCGAAATATACTTGTTGTTACAATATATTTGTCATAAGTCATGGCAGAGACCTAAAATATATAAAAATCAATATTTATTCTTTCGGTTGATTTTTTATATAACATTAGGTTAATTTTTTATGCACTATTCGTAATTTTAAAATCACAAACCTTTTTTTAGGTTCACAAACACCTTTTTCTTAATTTCCTTTTTTACTTTTTAATCATCTACGATGTTTTTATTTATACGTCTTAACAATATTTGTACATTTTAACAATAAAAAGGTCAGACATTTCATTACTCGCTCGTTTAAAATAACTTCCATTTTAATCTTTCATTAAAAACACATAGGAACAAAAATATGTACATATTCGTAGCGCACACAAAAACACTTTATCTTTATAAACTCACGTTAAATTTTTTCACATAAAATGTGAAAGCCTCAAATTTTAAAATGAGTTTTTACTCGTATTATTAAAACCATTTGTCGAAAGTGTTACAAACTATTTATTCTTGTAATAATCTTTGGTGCGTAATCATATAAAAATGTTTATAGATCTTTAAAGTAACTTAGCTAATGTCTTACCTACCTTTAAGTCTCATAAAATTCATCTTTTATTTAATATACATATATTTACATATGTATATTATGAATTTTATGAGAGACATATATATGATATGAAAATTATTTTCATGCTATTTTTATTTTTATATTAATTGAAGCTATTTTAAAGATCCATGAACGTTTACATATTATACATATACATATAAACATGACTTGACATAACATGAATGAAGAATAAGACGCGCAAAAGTAATTATGCAAAGACATATAAAAACGTGCAAATATAATTTGTTTATACACACACACACATAAGTATATGTGTGTATACATATATATACATATATATTACTTTAATATTATTTATCCACCGTTCTGAGCGGTAACTTAAAATTTTCAGTCTTAATCGCACGTTTATTCTTCATAAAACGTATAAAATCGCGTATAAAAATCGCGAGAAAAAATAAAACTGCGCATGTCCGCATGTATCACAGCCACGAAGGTGGCATATGCCTCCAATAATAGGGTGCACGGAATTGATCATAAAATCTCGTATAGTTTTGCAATGCTAAATACTGCGAGTACAACGGCGAACCGTACTGGAAATTCGGCGAGTGATACGAATAATACGAATTGTCGTATGTCGACGGCGTTACTTCCGTACACGGCCGGTCCAGCCAGGGCCTATGAAGAGACAATTCACCCGTTACTGGTGATACAGGATTCGGGACGATCGGTATCAGTGGGTTTAAGGCGATCGGTATCAATGGACTCGGGGCGGGTACCAGAGGGTTCGGAGGAATCGGTTCCAGTGGGTTCAGGGAAAGTAGCAGAGGGTTCGAGGCGGTAGGTACCAATGGATTCACGGCGATCGGCCTGGCGTTATCGCGTGCGCCATTATGCGTATTATTCTCAACAGCGCATTTTCTCGCCGATTTCCGCGTCGAGTTGTCCGAGTCAACGCTAACCCGTTTGTTCGCGATCTGATTCGGAGTCGGAGTCGAATTCGATTCGGAGTCGGAGGAAGAAACGCAGATCCCTTCGTCACGGCCCGAATCGAATTGGGCCTGATGATCAGTCCGATGTAGTGAGTATTTGCGCTTGAATCGCGACTGACCTGTCTCGCGAAATCCCTTTGCAAATGGATTGTTGTCGATCTTCAACTTCGTGATGTTCTGGTTCTGCAAAATTAACGTAAATGCGGGTATAGACACAAATTCCAACTAAGAAAGTATGCGATTACCTCACATCTCGGAACAGGATCTTTTTAGACGTGTAATATAATATTAATAAGTAATAAAACAAGAAAAGGGAATAAGAATTCAAGTATGTAATTTTTAGTTTTAACCCTTTACGATCCAAACTATTTCTAGCTAAGAAGTGAAAATCAATGATTTCGTCTTCAATTCAGTTCTAATCGATTGATGTAGTACGGGTCGAAGGGTTAGGGTGTTCCAGGTGGAAAGGTCAATATTCTGGGAGGTGATAAAAAGTAAATACACGAGACATTCAAGTAGCTCTCTATCTTGGAAACAGTGGGGAATGGGACATATATTCATATGAACATTTTTGTTTAAAATGACCGATACTATCACCTCCCAGGATATTGACCTGCCCTCCTGGAACACCCTGTATAAAACGTGAACGTCGTGGAAACTATCGATCCGATATTTTGGATTTTATTTAATGCTACATACCTGATACGCTGTTACAGCAATAAATTCCGTTTCTGCGAAACTGAACACCGCGGATGGATAAGAAAAAAGTTGAGGGTAAGAAAGTAACTTCTCTTCGGAACGAATTATCCAGATTCTTGGAATGTACTTGTGCATCGATGTTAATACCACCTGTAATATAAATTTGTTCTTAAATCAGTATAATTACAAAAATATATACATACAGAAAGCTGAAATTAAAGCGACTTATAATGGCGCATTGTTAAAATTAACAATTTCAAAGAATCACTAAATTCTTACTAAACTATTAAATTGTTATTATTAAACGCAACCATATGTTATTTTTACATTTAATATTACACATCAAGTTTGAATTATGCGATGTCCTATCAATTAGAAAAATATCGAAGAGTAAGAGCTCATACGACGTTTGTAAATGGGTTTACGAATTTCTTATTGTCTAGTGTTAAATGCGGAAAAAAGGACCGCTGGTATCTGCATCGCGAAAGACGATCCCGAAAGGATAAAGGGAGAGGGGAGCGAAAGAAGAGGCCCTTTCTATTACTTGCGAATGGGGATAGAGGCGGAGGGGCAGAAGAAGACGGACGAAGCGCCGGGAATTTTATTAAATTCGTAATTAGTTTGAGGAACCGGGTAAAAGGGGCGCCGCTTTTTCGAGATAAGTTGGCGCCTCACTAAAGAGGCCGACGGTAGACACAGACGCGATTCCCGAAAACCAGACTAAGCCTTGCAACCTTCTTGGAATCACATGTCTGCGCGCCACCGAAGATCTCTCATATGAATCTAGAGCGAGATGCACCACTTCAATACGCGATCTGGTAGTCATTACCGATGTTTCACGTTTCTTTTATGCGGTCAAGATATTTTTAATGCGAGAAATACATCGTATATCTTCCTTCGGCAAATCTCTTAAGTCTGAAATCATTTAACACTTCGATTGCCAAATTGATTTTGGTATAAAGTAACACTAAAAATTTACGTGAAAAATTTTGAATATTTTGAACTCATCAATTGTTCTTTCAGTATACTCATTTTTCGGGCAAAAATTTCTATTCGTTGTTAGTCAAATTTCCGATTGCTGAATATTTAACATAAGAACTAATTTCTTAACTGTTTTTTTATCTTAAAAGTATTACATATCTTGATAATCTTACATCGAATAAATCCTGTTTAGAATTGGTTGATTGTGAGAAGAAAAATTTCGTTAACTTTCATGCTAAAATTAAGATCAGTGAAGCTTTGTCGCCAAAATTCTACAACACACTCTCTCAGTATCAGAATTTTATTAAAAATTTATTGACGTTTCTTTCATTTATGATATAATTGCCCTTTCTTTCTGATCGCCTAGTTTAAATTAAAATAGGGAGACCAGATCTTTTCAGATCAGAATTTTGATTTAAGGAAAAGGTGACGAAATTAAGATAACCGCACAACAAAGCGAATCTCTTGTTTGCCGCCGCTGTCCAGCCGCTAATCCACCTTGTGGATTACAGCTTTTCACGCATGAACCGAGTCGAATGAACAATAACGAGGGGCAAAAGTGCCGCCGAGCTCTTCCGTGCGTCCTTCTTGTCCACAAAGGCAGAAGAGAACCATAAAATGCCATTTCTAACACCAACGGCGACGGTGATAGCTAGGAACTCACGGCTGTAAACAAATCCGCTTGTTCAGTCCCAGCGGGGACGGAAGGTATATCGATTACAGGGATCATGCAGTGTGCCAATCTCTTATAGACGCCGATCGATGTACCGCACCGGCTTGAGTTTAAACCTCTGTCGGAAAATGCTTCGACACCGGTGCTTAGATCTTTTTTTTTCCAAGAAGCTTAATCCTCAAGGGGATTGGTCTTTAACCACAGAATGCTTCTGCCTTTGAACGAATTTTATGAGAGGGAGAATATAATCAGAGTACCCATAAAATATCACGAGTTTTCGAAAATATTTTACCGAATTTATATATGTGCATGTAGATATTTTAATGGTTTACAAATGAAAACGTACACAAATTTATATATTTTAATATCCTGTCGTGGCTCTTACTCCTTTCTTATTTCGTATTTGTGTTTTCACATTAGAGCCTTATGAATGTTATTAATTGTTTATATTTTTTATATGTGGGTGTGTATAGGTATACATAAATTTAGTCTTCATGGCTTCCGGATGGTATACATAAATTAGATATATAAAAGAAAAACTTTTTTAAGAAGAACAACTGTTACAGTAAATAGAACATAAAATATAGTGGCTTTAATTTTTACGAAGAAGCCTTAGACTAATTTATAATCAGGCCTGTCTATATTCTTGTGTACCTACAACCTATTATATTACTCAGCATACGTTGCATACTAATTACAATAAGTACATTAATTTTAGCTAGAGCACATTACTTACATTAGTAGTATCGTTGATGCTGTTCGTTAGCTTCACTTTAGTAAATTTAATTGGATTGTCCATCCAGTGGTTCCCTTTTGATGGACTGTCGGGATGCATGTACATTCTTCGGTAGAACGGAAGCTGTGGTTCTGCCGAGCCCGAAGCACTCCAACCTCCACACATATTGCCGGTCTTGGTACTGTTATCGTACCCGCAATATTTATGTCTGCGATCGGAGGCCGGTGCAATCTCCAAGAAGACGTAATAATTGTCCCGCTCTTGCAAACCTTTTACATCAATTTCAATTGACGGGAACATGCGCCTGTAAAAGAGCAACGGCTCATAAATCGTTGTTGGACAATGAATCGTATTAAATATACAAATTTAATTTTCACATTTTCTTCAGCAAGTTTTAAATGTACTTGCAAATACAATAATCCACATCAAAAACTATATAATCGCTCTTTACGGGAAGCACATTTTTCCCAGAAAAAAGTATTTCGTAGCGTTACGGATAAGAAGGTAGAAAAAAAAGAGATAGCAAGTTTAAGGGTTTGTTCTGTAATCTCCTTTAACTGCAAGTTTCAAATGCGTCTGTAGAAAACGATAATCCATAGCACTATAATCCCTTTTCACGGGAAGCATAACATTTTTGCAGAAAGAAACATTTCGTAGCGGCACAGACGAGACAGTAGAAAAAAAAAGAAAGAGCAAGTTTAATCTTTTAATTTATGATATGCTCGAAATGGAAACTGACTGTTGTCGGCGAAATTTGCGATCTCTAAGATGGTATTAGAATGGTACTAAAGCCATAAATCAGACCCTGCAGCTCCTCATTATTCCACCTCTCGTACTATACGAGAAAACTGGCGAAGAATCGCGAGAAATTTCGGAGCTTTTCTGTTCTGCGAGAAGGAATCAGCAAACGTTCCGTTTTAAATTAATATATAATATTTTTGTTCCGTTTACTTTAAATGAACATCAATGATCATGTTTCACGTATCATCGAAGACATCTTTGTTCTAACATTGGTCATGTTAACTATTATCGGAAAAATTATTATTAATAATCATTATCCAAAAAATTACAGTAATCATTTGCAAAAATAGTTCATGGCATCACGGAAAATTATTGTAATCCTTTTCTAATTATTGCTAACATAATCACTATTGGAATAATATATTATTGTATATATTTTATATTATTCATATTATTATAATATCTAATAATATAATTTCAGATTGTATGTATGTATTTGTTTAATGTTTCTCTTACGGGATTACATGACTTCCTCCTTTCTCACTCCATCTTCCGTTACAATTCTTTACCTTCCTCACTGTTATATTATTGCCTTATGATCTATCTTATCTCCTTTATCTATGTACATTTGTTCGTATTTTACCTATCCATCTGAAACACATATTCTCCTTCTATTAAGCTTGTTACCTATCTGTTTCGGTTTCTATTTCATTTATGCACTCATTCTTTCTCCATATAATTTCAGATTGAATAAATGAAACTAGCGTCCTCTCATAAAATAAAATAATAAATCTCCTTGCAATTGAAACAAATGAATAAGAATAAAAAATATGAATAATTTAGTTTTTATTAAATCTAGCGTGCTATTTCAATAATATCTCATTAAACTCATTGTTAGTCGTAATTCAAGGTTCAAGAAAATAAAAGACACAAGGGATAAGAGAGCTAACAAACCAATCTACCCAAAATAACATTAAAATATATTTTTAAGATATATATGTCTAAAAGACGGCCTAAAGTCGTCTAAAAAATGTTTTTACATATGTGTGCTGTATGGGCTAGACAAACAGTTCAGGGTCGGGAGTTACTTTTTAAAAGTATTTAGTTACAGTTACAGTTTTTTCGCTAAAAATGTAACTAATTACAGTTACAAGTTACCAATTCTGGAAAGTAACGAGTCGTTACTTTCCTGCAGTGAAAATAAAAATATCAAATCTGCATTTGAATTGTAATTGTAATTGTAAATTTGAATTTGTACGAAGGACTGTCATGTGCATCTGTCAGTTTTCCCAAAGAAACTGTACCCATTTTCTATAAGGCGACAACCATTTATCGTTTGAATGATAAGAGATATGAAAAGAAATGTACGATTTTTTTCACGACACTGCTTTCACATTTCTTTTTCTTTGTTACGAACGTCTTTAAAAAGCGTACACTTTACATCAGCTCGAGGTAACTGATGCTTACCGTTTAGGTAAAAAAGAAATGCGAGAACAATTGTTGCAAAGAAAATGTGTGCATTTCGTTTGCAACAATTAATTCTTTTCATATTCATTGTTGCACAAGAAACGTGCCTTTTTGTTGGCAACAATTCTTTTACCAGTCGTGCACAAATAACGATGTATCACAAGTGACGTTAAACAGAGATTTCATTAAACATTGATTATATAATATAACACAGGGACACACGGAAACGGTTAGAAGTGACGCATATACGCAGTGATTTTATAGACGACTTTTGCCTCGCCCGAGACTTTTAACGCTAAAGAGATCTCATTTCGTGCAGGTAGTATTCGCACACTTTTCCTCGAGAGAACAAAGGTTCGTCGAGGGGTTTGTTAGTCATTAATGCGCAGGGTAGGCGACGGGTAGGCGTCGCCGCGCCGATAGGACGACGCAGTGTTAAGTTCCGCTCCTATTACTACGCAGTTCTTCCAGCTTTCACCCTCGTCAACTGATTTTCCTGACTCCGCAAATATTTCTACGGAAAGGCAAATCGAGCAGCCGCCGATTCGTTTGCCTGCCTAATTGCTCCCCAGCATTTCGCGTTCGACCTTACATCTAGTCGGCGGACTGACAAAGGATTTGGCCGGGTCTGCGCCGGCCCCGCTACATTGTCAATACATTATAGTAGGTATAAAGATGGTGAGATCTCCGAAACGAGATTCTTCGGTAATATAGCGAGACTTTCTGAGTCGTACAGCCGTACTGTGCTCTCGATAAGTTTTTCTCGTTTTCCCTCGATACGCACCATTACAAAAGTGCCAGTCAAGGCAAAGAAAATAGAAGAAAGGAGGGGAGGAGGACGTATAGAAAAGACATGAGGTAAGAGGTAAGAGAAAAGCGAGTAAAAAAAGAATTATAAGATCATCAATAGAAAGATACAGATTTGTAGGAAATAAGAAATGTAAGAGAGATGGAGATGAGATAATGAGGATAGACTTAAAAAAAACACTCATTCTAATCCTAAATAAACATTTAAGTAGAAAACCCGAAATAACATCGAGAATATAGGCCCGGTTTTTCTGGTTAACTGTTAACCAGAAGTCAGTCGGTTCTCGATCTTTTTCTATGTTATTATTTAGGAAGAGACAGAGAATCGACTAACCTCTGGTTAACAATTAACCAGAAAATGAAAAACCGGGCCATAGAAGGATAAATGAAGATGCGTGGATGTGCGTAAGTAACAAATGTAAACCAAGTCATCCATCACTTTGCTTTATACTTTATGTGTATAATTATCATGTCGCGACCCAGATCAACGTCGTTTATTTTACAATACATTAGGGGTGCGTTCGCAGAGCGCGCAGTTAGCATCAAAAGAGTTAATCTTTATCTGATACACAATAATGAATAACGAAGATAGGCTAATGCTTTTAACTTTTGCCTTTTAATACTATTAACACGGCGAACGCATCCTAAGTAACTCTTTGTTTTATCAGTTTCTCTTTACTCTCTTATCGCCCGAGATACAATCGCGAGGCCAAGTAAACCACATTTCTCGAGAAGCGAGAATATCCATGAGGTGAGTCCGCGTTCGCGCCATTCCGACACTTACACGGAACATAAATATCTGTTAAATATCTAATGGATATCCACGACAGATATTAGGGGTATCCACGAATACCTAAAAAATATCCTATAGCATCGAAGTTAACACCGCGTTTGTTGGTGTGAAAGATCTTCTACACTTTCGATGTTAAAATTTACACCGGGTTATTTAACTACGTGGGTGTGGTGAAAGTTCACGCCACTATTTTCTAGAGATAGATTATGTAGATATCCACAGTAGCTACGGATATCATACAGATATGTACACTGAAAAAAATTTCTGGTTGAATATGGACGAATCAGATAATTCCTTTAGGATTTACCAGAATTCCTGTAATCCTACAGAAATTCTGGTAAATCCTAAAAGAATTCTGGTAAATCCTAAAGGAATTATCTGATTCGTCCATATTCAACCAGAAATTTTTTTCAGTGTAGATATCCATTGGATATTTATTAGACATTTTGTTCTGTTTGGGCGGCCGTCGGGTACTCGTGCCATGCCGCTGCAACAGACGCATCTGGTTTAAGGAGCCTCTTGTCATTAGACGCGGAGACGCGATAACGTCTGCATTGGTGTGATATAACGACGCGTCTCAGTGGCACGAGCTCCCGGACCCGCGTGTCATCCTGCCTAAGATTGAGGGTCTACTCGAATGTCGCGTGGACTATCTCCTCGCGGGAAGCACGCGCGTCTGTTCGACATACCCTCGACATGTAACAAAAACACGAGGAAAAACAACAAACACGTCTACGTACATACGCGCCTTCAAGATAACGACTACACTTGTTTCCTGATTTTTCATGTCTCTCAAGCCGGGTCTACACTATATAACAAAACATGTGTTTTTGTTTTGTTTTTAACATTGTTGTATAACTTGTTATATGACTTCATATAACTTGTTATTAGACACTATTTTTGTAACAATAATTTTATGTACAAGTTGTTAAACATTTTTCATCTCAGTATTCATAACTAAACGGCGATTCTGGGTGCGACCATCATTAGAAGCTCGAAAAAAATATAGTGGTACAACCCTTATAGCAGATCTTGAAAGAGATGACAGAGATATATTGACGGGAGAAATTCGGTGTGACGGTAGTTTCAAAAACTTTGCAAGGATGACAAGTTTTGATTTTGAATACCTCATAAACATAAAGTTTTATAACTTCCTTTGATCTTTACCGACAACTAATGGATAACATATAACCTGCTATATAACACGAAAAATGTTATACAAATATACAACATCATGTTATATAACATTTTTTCTTTTCTTTTTGTAACAAGTTGTATAACTTTGCTATATAGCATGTTTTGTTATACTATAGTGTAGACCCGGCTTTAGATTTATTATTTGCTCAATATTTGCTACAATATTTCGGTGGCGAAGTTATACCTGAAATCCACCTCATAATCTACTCTTTCTTCAGTAAACGACGAACAATTCTTCAGTGGACACTTTTTTAGGCGTTAATTTTTAATTTATGACACTTCTAAATAATTGAAGAAAA